CAGTCTCGTATGTATATCCTTCTGCATTTTTCTTCTATCTTTTGTGCTTTTTTCACACATTTGTGGTCGAATCAATAATTTGAATGAGTTCTGTCTGTTTCCCACTGTCTATCACGGACTTCGACTGCAATTGAAGCTGTAAATATTAGAAATTGCGAAAACATGTCTAGTCTTGTGTTTGACTTCGCTCACATTGTTATTGTCCCCCAACGTTTATGGCGTAACTCTCTTTTTAAAACACTTTTAATGCCTTTTTTCTTGTTCTTGTCTTCAACCATCTGGTGCTGCTCATGAAGTTACGCTTACAAGAAGGCTTTACTGCTGAATGAAACTCAAAATGCAATAACAATCGAAAACCACCTCTACTCGTGCTGTTGCCAGATCACTTGTTTAGAGTTTGTAAGTGAAAGAATTCTAGTGGATGCTCGTTTGTTCAGCCAGTAAAGCTGGTGCTCGGAAAGTTACCCCATTTTATTTTTTGTTTATGCATTCTGCTGATCAACGGTCGCTGTTGCGATTTCTTCTCGTCTTTATGGAACAGATGAGACAGCAGTTCGAGCGACCTTTGGCTGGAGCGCGGTCTGGCGTAAATAGCAACGAGGGGAACGTGCATGCACCATCCTCGCTCACTGCTGCTCAGCTGTGCCCCTGTTAATTTACTCTTTTTTCTGGGTGCACAGTTATCCGCAACGCTTGTTGACAGCTAGAATTTGTCCATACGAAAGCAGCGCTGTCTTGTTTGCTGTACTCTTTTATATCGTATTAGTTCGCGGCAGAAAGAGATAAGGCGAGACTTATTCGAAGCAGCGGCTGTTTCACTTGGTGCCACTGGCGGCGATTGGATTCAGACGCTAGCGAACAAAACTCTTCAGAAGCGGAAAAATGCTGCTTGATTGTATCTGTCCTATACGGGATTAAGGTGGGTACTGTCTAACGTTAACGCTCGGCTGTCGTTGTCTTATTGCAGCCCAGCACTCCATGCCTGCAGTCCTCTTAGATTCTCTTGATAAACATGTTTTTCTGCCATCAGCTCTAATACAAATCCACTCCTTAGCTCTCAGTAACGATCCTCAAACACTTGTGTGATAGTCACGTCGTCGCGATAAAAACTTTTATCTATCCACATAGACGGAAAAGTTCTTTAATGCAGCACTTTTTTCAGGCCGCTTGGCTATTACTGGCGACATGTCCGATGTCGCAGAGTCACAGCTGTGCGACTGTAGTCGGATGCCGCTCACAGAAGTAGATGCGGTAGGTTTTGTTATATATTGTATGTGTCAAATTTAGATTTTTGAGCTAACAAGCTTTTATGCTTTCTAAGTGATTTCATTCACCACTATATGTCACCTCATGTTCCTGATTAAACTGCCAAAGTGTCTTGTTCACCGTTTTCCGATGTTGCCCATCATCAATTTTTTGGCTTTAGAGATTGATCGTCTCTTTAGACTTAAAGGTAGGCCCTCCAAAACTCTTTAAATTTTGTGTTTCTGTAAATTAGCAGTATCTCTGCCTTCCCATCCTCTTTTTTCTTTTGCTTATGCAAAACGGGAAAATCAGTGTACAATTTTAAATGCTTTCATATTCTTAAGATCTCTCCGAATCCCTGAGAACGAAGTATCAAAACGTGTCTGTTATCATGTGACATTGCATAGTTACATATTTAAATCAGTGTAGGAGATACTGCTGATTAAAAGAAATAAACACGAAATGTGTGTAAGTAAGGATATTTTTACGTATTTTTTTTTCAAAATTAGTAGTCTTACCATGCATTCATCCTAACTCACTCATCATCGGAACTTTCGGTGATAATTTGTCGCAACACGTGTTCACACTCCATCCTCTTCTCAAATATCTGTCTTGAATGCAGAGATTAGATGTCGTGCGATTATCCTTGTTTGCTAGTAGAAGCGTGTTTTTTTCTGTTCATTTGGTCAACTTAAACAGTTGCGACTTTTCTCTTTCCGTTACTAAAATTCTCTCACTTTAAGAAGCTGCATATTTTATAATCTAAATTACTTGAGATTTTATGTCTAAAGCAGATTTATGAAGCAAATTTTCAGCTGTCAACATTTTCATGTACTTTGTTGGAATTGGATGAAAATAATGGGCTGTCACCAAGGCTGCGCAAAAACGGAGTAAAACTGCCACGATTACGGAAGAAAGCATCGGATTTTGTGTTTTTGCGGATTCTTGGCGAAGGTGCTTACAGTACGGTGAGTACATCAACTGATAGTGCTGTCTTTTATTGAGATTTAGTCTGAGTTAAGTCTCATTTAAGGTTTATCTCGCTCGCGAACTCCGCGGTGGACAAACGCAGGCCGTCAAGGTTGATTTTAACTGCATATACAGCCATTCTTGTTTATGAACACTCTGTCATGCTTGAGCATCTGC